TCTACCTCCTCTCCTCTAACAGGCGATGGGGCAACTGCTGGGATATTTTATTAATAAGTGAGGCTGAAGACTGTGACTAGGTGTCAACTAAATCTCAATAACAGTAATATTTTATTTCAGAAGCAAATGCTGGCACAAGTCACTGGCTCTTCTGGCAGGGCAGGTCATTTCCATTTTACAGCTGAGGAAGTGGAATTCGAAGTCATTTTTTCAGTAAGCCAGACATCTCGGTTCGGAGCCCACCACACTACGTGCTGAGCTACTGCTGCCCCCTAGGGAAGGCTGGATTTTCTTTGCTTAATAAGACAGTCTGTAACAGGTCGGCAGGGTCATGACGATTTTGCACAGAAAGGTATCTTACACTGAAACGGAAGTTTTGAAGCCTTGGGACTGAAGCTGATTCACTGAAATAAAGCAGTTTCCTACAGGGAACCTATATATCTTCTGAAGCAGGGCAGGATGGGGTTTCAGGTACAGGAAACTGACAAAGGGATAACGGAATAACATCAAGAAGCTTTTCTAACAGGAAAAGAATAGGGATAGATACCAAAAAGTATGACCCTCTCCAAATTCATCTATGCCCGAGAGGCAGGTCTGACTTGGGAGCCCCGTCTCACCCCTCAGCGACAAACCTGTTACCTCAGCCGTCTCCTAGACGGCACTATTGAACACCTTCTTCGGCCATTCAAATCAAATCTCTTCCCCAGTCCCCCACCCCACAGGACCCCAAACCGGTCCCTTCTATACCCGTCATCTCAAGTTAAACATCTGGAAGCCATTTTCCCCCTTGCTCTTCCTTCTCTTCCACAGTCAATGGTCCAATGAAGTTCAGCTCTTTACTGAGTACAAACTGTGTGGTCCAGCACCCTGGGTGCTGCTCTTAAAAGCATGCAGACAAAAAGAAACCCATCTCCAACCTGCTGACTGTCCTCTGAGTTCCCCATCTCCAGCCTGGATCAGTACAAGGGTGCTCTAACTGGTCTTCCGACTTCCAGGCTCTGGCCATCCACTTACTCCCTGATATTTTCTACTAGCCTAAGTCATCTGCTGCTAACAGCCTGTCCACAGGATAGAGGGCCAAATCCCAGGCACCCTGTCCCAGGCCTTGGACCATTTCGCCCAGGCCCGTCTTCACCCCCACGCCTCTGCCTGCCTCCAGGCCCCCTGCACGGTGGGCACACTCAGTGTGCCCAGTTCTCAGACTCGCCGCCACAGTTATATCTCACTTAGTCTGTCCTCTCTGCCTGGAATCCCTTCCCCACTTTTTACTCACATAAAGCCCCCCTCCCCAAGGCCTATTTCCAGTATTTCTAAATTCATGGATTAACGAGAGCCTCCTTGAGTCCCACAGGTCTGTTCTTTTCCCCACTGTAGTACATCCTACAGAATGGCTAGTTTTACGTGGTTCTGCCTTCTCAACAAGATTTTTGTCTTTAAAGGCCAGGACTGAGCCTTATTTATCTTTACATGTCTGGTTGCATAATATATGTTTGTTGAATGAAGAAGAATCCCTACACACAGCGCAGAAAATGAAGAACAGGAGGCGGGCTCAGGGTAAGGGCCCAGATGTTTTACCAGATGCCTCCAGATCTCGGTTCTCAACCATGGAGGGTCTACATCAGCTGAAAATCAGTGGGTCACCAAAAATGAAGTGCCAAAATTTCACAATAATTTACTGCAAACAATTACAACAGACTCAAAGTGAATAAGCTTTCCGGGGAAATGCAAATCAGAACCACAATGAGGTATCACCTCACACCTGTCAGAATGGCTGTCATCAAAAGAACACAAATGACCAATGTTGGTGAGGATGTGCAGAAAAGGGAGCCCTCGGACATTGCTGGTGGGACTGTCAACTGGCGTAGCCACTGTGGAAAACAGTATGGAGGTTTCTCAAAAGCTAAAAACAGAACTACCATATGACGGAGCAATTCCACTTCTGGGTATATATCCAAAACAAAAACGCTAATTCAAAAAGATACGTGCACCTCAATGTTCATAGCAGCACTATTTAAAATTGCCAAGACATGGAAGCCATCTAAATGTCCATCAGCAGATGAACGGATAAAGCAGACGTGTTTATATATATAATAGAATACCACTCAGCCAAAAAATAGGAAAATTTTGCCATTTGCAACAACATGGATGGACTTGGAGGGTATTATGCTAAGTGAAATAAGTCAGACAGAGAAAGACAAGGAGTATGGTATCACTTATATGTATAATCTAAAAAATAAAACAAACTAGTGAATACAACAAAAAAGCAGCAGACTCACAGACAGAACAAACTAGTGGTTACCAGCGGGGAGGTGGGGAGGGGCAACACAGGGCCAGAGGAGTGGGAGGTAGAATCTACTGGGTGAAGGACAGGCTACAAGGATGTCCTGAACAACATAGAGAATATAGCCAGTATTTTGCAGTAACTGTAAATGGAGTGTAACCTTTAAAATTGGTATAAAAATTAAAAAATAAATGAAAAAACAAAGTTAATATGCTTGCTTAAATGCAAGAAAAGGGAATGATGGAATTACACCCAGGCACCCTTGGAAATATCATCTATCTTACATACAATGGTGAGAGGACTTACGGACAATGCATACTCTAGGCAGTGTGGAATGGGACAGTAAGGAGATCATGGATGCTAGGGCCTCGGGCAGTGTGGTAAGAAACTAGGAAAAGGGGCAGAGTTTCTAAGCTCATCCTGTCACCAGTCTTACTGCTGCACAGACACAGAGAAATATGCGCTAACCACATGGCTCCATCCTCATGAGAACGCCAGGCTTAGGAGAGGGGTACGTGTGAGGGCAGTTACAGTGAGGCCAGAAGCTAGTGGGGTCTGGGAACGCTAGCCCATCCCTACTTTGAGTGATGTGTTTTGATGAAAGATCAAGACAGTTATCTGGGTACCATAAAATGGATATCCCTTTATTTTTTTTTCCATGAAAACATCTCCCAAATTTGTTTATTCTAAAGTAATTGGAAGGGAACTGGAGTGGGGGGAAAATGGGAGGAGCAGGTTACCAAGAAGAAAACTAGGTAAGGATTAAAGGACGACATGAATCCAAACGTAACGAGACCACGCTCTCTTCTGCCTTAAGCGTTTGGCTTTTATATGCACCTTGTACAGAGAAACTTCAAATATAGTTTCATTTTGCAGCTGTTGTGACTTGTTTTAGTGCAAAAAGGAGGAAAGATGGAAAAGATGGAGACGGCAGCAGAACGTGAACATGGCTGGGGCCAGCGCAACATCTGGGGGCCTGATGATTTTTTTTTTTTAACACTCTTCAGGGTAAATAAGTAACGCCGAAGAATTACATTTATGGTGAATGTTAAAATGTTGTTGCTTCTATGAGGAAGCGACAACACGATTCCACAGCCAAAGTCAAGATGTAACTTTTTGTATTTCTATTTGGAGCTTGCTTTTCTTACCCTGCTCTCCAAAACGAACATGAAGCTAAAATATCTCAGGCTAGTTCTCAACCTCAGCTCTTTCATTTGGCACATGTATCAGAAAATTCTACTTGGTTACTGGAGTCATCCCAAAGGGAAAAAATAGCATTTCCAGAAGGCCGGCATTCATTCCCGTGCCTTTTCTGCATTTATGTAACTCAATTGGGGCTTTGTTTTCTGACTGTCCACACGCGTAGAACACACAGAAGGCAACTGGTGGAATGCCACCCAAATGTTTTTATGACTCTGGATGTATGTGCGGTGGGCAATAAAATTTCAGAATTAGCCCTTATTCTGATGACTTACTAGTCTTTCCAAGTACTCTAAATTTGATACCATCTCACAAATACGATTTGCGAACAGATCTAGTTCAGGGAGCGGGAGGTACCCGCCTGTCTGGCATGGACAGCCCGCGTCTGCCAGAGGTACAGCCTGTGGCTGACTGTTAGTGGAGGGTGGGCCGCTTGCTGCCCCGCCACTTTTGAAAACGGGTAACCTGCAGATTGGTTCACATGGGAAGCCAGCATGCTAACCTCTTGAATCTCTGACCTCCTACCCGCCCTGCTTTAAGGGCTGTTAAGGCCTTGGTAAAGAAGTAGGACAAGATCACAAGTCTTTTCTTCTCTCTCGAGATAAACCCAGATCTTTCTACTTTCTCAGTCTTAATGAGCATCAAGCAGCCGGATGTTAGTGCTCAAACAGGTTTAGAGGACTAAGATTAATACATCTTTCGCTTGCTGTGAAATCTTTCAAGTCCGTGGAATATAGGAAGTAATCTTTTTAAAGGATGCTGTGGCCACTGTTAGAAAGGAAATAACCTAAAAACCTTTTAGCATTAATTTCTGTAGATTCTCTTCCCTGCATTTTTATAAATTTACCCAAGAAATAACTGAATGTTTTACACGTAACTGATATTAAATGTTCTCTAGGGCTATTACTTCCCTCTGCAGAAATAAAAACACCAGGGCTTTTTGATTGTACAAAGAATGTAGCAATTGAAAAAGCCATGACCATCAGTCCGACAGACAATACTCCCATAGTCCGCAGGACTGCACTCAACGCCAGCTCTCCACTTACATGCCATGTATTTCATTGCAACGAAAACAGAGAGTTGAGCGGGAGGGCCGTTCAGGAAGAGATGGTCTAAGATCCCTATCAGTTCCTCATCTCCCAGAAGCCTTCTTACAACAGGAGAAAAGACAGAAGAGAATCGCCAAAAAATTCCCAGATTTCTAATAAAATAACCCCTGGCCTCCAGCACACCCCTCCCGTGAATCAACTCACACGACTACACATACCGTGTAAACATTAATGGACACATTAAATTGATCTCTTTAGACTGTGACTTATCAACTGATGGATGAGGATCTCACTCTCTGAGTAACTGAGGCTAACATTCTTCTCCATGAGTAGTTATGTATGGGTTTAATTATGCCTCTGTTTCCTGCTTTTTACTCCAAAGTGACAGCACTGCTTAGATGTGTCCAAGGAGATGAGGTCCTCTGTAACTCAAGTGCAAACAGTGGAATGATGGTAAGAACAGCCAAGAGGGTTTCAAAGAGCGGCAATGACTGACAAATCAGATCTCTGAGTCCATAATTAAGAACAGCATTTTACCACAACTTAGCAATTAAAACGCTGTTCACCCAGGAAACAGGATCCAGTTAAAGTCTGTCTTTAGCAACGTACATCAGCCAGAATGCTTGCAGAACTCTGTTAGAAAAAAATTCTCTAACATGATTCTAGGTAACGTCATTTGAGTGCTACATCCAGACTAGAGTATGAACCAGCTGTATTCAAATTCAAGCAAGCCCCGCCTCCGTCTTTTCCCCTCTTCCTGCTTTGTGAACCAGAGCTACCCCTGGCTTGTTTTCTTTCCTTTTTTTAATTGAAGTGTAGTCAATTTACAATGTTGTGTTAGTTTCTGGTGCCCCTGGGTTTCTGACCAAATAATTCCTATCAGCTATTTGGACTGGATCATGGAGATCCTGTTCTGATGAACCTCCTGTGACAAGATCAATTTACAAGGAATAACTCTCTCGTACAGTGAGGAAAATACAGCAATTCATCACGCCAAGATAAAAGGATCATCGCCTCCCAGCTGCTGGCAAGCTCTTAGAGGTTCACCACTTGGCACACATCATGGGTGCCTCTGGAGAAGAGTCAGTTTTACATCTAAGGGTGACTGTATTGAACAGAAAATAAAAATGGATTGCAGATGGGACCAGTTACATAATTTGTGGGACGCAGTGCAAAATGAAACTTTGGGTCCCTTTGTTCAAACAGTATTATAAATTTCAAGATAGTGACAGCAGAGCATTAAACCCAGAGTGGAACCCTCTAAGTGTGGGGTCCTGTGCAGCTGCACAGCTGAAGCTGCCCTGACAGCAGCTGCATGTGGTCCCCTCCACGTAGAAGCACGCCTGCATTCATCTCGCAGGGCCTTCCTGAGCACCGTCTACATACGGTGGTAGATTTCAGTCGCCGAGTATGGTGGCTAAGTTAGGGGCTCTGGAGTCTGATGGCCTCAATCCTGATCTCAGCTCCACCACTACCAGCGAGGGCTCTGAACAAATCATTTCATCTCTCAATCCCTGGGCATCCCTTATCTGGAGAAGGGGTAAACAGCAGCCAGCTTAGTAGGCTGTTGGGTGGAGAAAACTCACCGGAAGGACTCTGAACAGAGCCTGGCACAGAATATGAGCTCAATAGCCGCCTACAGCCTTTACGTAAACCGGAAGTGGAACATAACTGTCACAAGGGCAGCTCAAACTGAGTGTAGAGGGGCTCAGGCAGGTTGGAAGTCAAAGCTTGCAGGGAAGCCTAGAGGAAAGGAAGCTTTAGGAAGAAATGAATTGCGGTGGGGTAGAGTTCAGTGGGACAGCACATGCTTAGCATGCACGAGGTCCTGGGTTCAATCCCCAGTACTTCCATCAATCAATCAATCAACCTAATTACCCCCCCTCCCCTTGCCAAAAAGAAATGCAGAAATGCATTTGAGATGGGTTTTGTAGGAAACCAAGGATTTTCACAGAAGTCAGGAGTTAGGACACAGGAACCTCACGGTGTGTGTGGCCACCATGACGGCATCTGAGGCTGGAACACTTGACATGGGTGGGAGATCCCTGGGGGCAGGGACTGGAAGGATGAATGCCTCCTGCAGGGTGAGCCGTCACACAGGAAGCTGAGGAAGCAGAGACTCCAGCTGCTAGGCAACAGGGAAGAACGGAAGGTTCGGCCGCAGACCAGTAGTGTGGTCAGAGCCGACTTGTAGCCCCTTGGACAGCAGGCAATGCCCAAAGACTGTCCTGTTTTCTTTCCCTCTCTTTTTTTGCCAAGGTGCAAGAGAAGTGATGAAATGAGTCTAAAATTAATGAGATTCCCACAGAGATAAGAATCCATTAGCCCACTACAAATACGAGTCTCTTTGATTTTGACTGGTTCTACCCCCCACCAATATTCACAAATACTGCATGAAAAGAAGTCACAACCAAATCTTTTCTTGAGAAGCTAAGTGCTTTTTGAGGGGCATGCTAGGATTTTAAAGCCTGGAAAAAACAAACAAAATAAATTCATTCCCATCCCATTATACAAACAAAACCAAGGCACATATGAGCCAAATTACAGCACGCCACGCTGGCCTCTGCCCTGGCAGCTGCTGGTGCACGCCTTCCTCGAGGGGCCTCCAAGACCCCCACTCCCTCTGTACACTGCCCTGAGCTCAGGGAAGAGAAAACACTACATGACCTACTTCCCTTTCCCACACAAAGCCACCAGTAATGCTCCTGGATTTCAGATTCTGAGTTCTTACACGAAAAGTCCAAACCTTTTGCAAACTAGTTCCATCAATCACTTATAAGCATGTATTTCTGATCAGGGTTCTAAGCGGCACTAGACCTTCATCTCTACATCCCTACTTTTATTTTGTGCCATTTAGCTCTCATCATCATTTGTCATTTTCTAAATATAATGAGAAACTGGAAGAGTCAAATAGAAAGCCATAGATTGGGAGACGCTAGGCTATTAAATTAGGCTGGATTCTGATTCTCTCCGGGAGTGGGACTGGTGGGGGGATAGTGAACTTGCCAGCAGGGCCACAGGCTATGAGTCAACCACCTCTCCTGCCATCCCTCCTGGTGCATTTGTGCTTGTTCCGTTCTAAAGAGACAGGTCCAGAGCAGATGGTCCAGGGCCATCTTCGCGTGGCCTGAAGCCGAGTTCTGGTGGTATGGTCACCAGCTGAGCCCAAAAGTCAGAGAACAGACTCCCTCTCAATCGACAGTCTCTGTCTCTGATTGATTTGACCCTGCTGACCACCCCTAAGGACACTGCCCATCTCATTACTTCACAGCAATTGCTCCTGCTGGGAAAAAGGAAGTTCAGGCCACTTCTTTTGACAAGCACTTTAACGCTAGGCAGAACCTGAATTACCACTCCATCACCACACCGAGGGATTTCCACAAGTGGACCGTTCATGTCCCCGGCTCTGAACAAGGGGCCTGCAGGAAAATTTCACACTGATGACTGTAGGGGTGGGTCCTGGCAGCAGCATCTGTCTTAATTATCACTGATTTCCACAGGTTTATGTATGTGTTGCGCCATCAACAAATCTTTAAGAAAACTGTCAGTGGTTTCAAATATACGACAGCAAGATAAATATATACAAATATTATATATATTTAACACACACACACTATATATATAATATATATATTTAACCTCTGAGAGTTATTTAAATTCCTGATGCTAAACGTGTCTGTATAGTGGATGTCCCCTCATCAGGCAAAGGGCCCAGGACTCCTGTTCCCTTCTCCAGGACGGGAGGGCTGCAGCAGGACACGTGGCAGACCTGGCCTCTGGGCAGGCCTTCCCCATGGCAGGTGTGTGTGTGGGCTCACAGGGGAGAGACTGTCTGAGGAAGCCTCAGGGTCACTGGGGGCCCCTATAGACCTTTCCCATAAGGGGTGACCCGGCCAGGCCTCCCTGGGTGGTTCTAAAGCAAAAGTGCCTTGAAATGGGGAAGCGGTCAAGACCTCAGTGCCGGGCGCACACAGGATGGCTCCTGAGTGACATATGGAACAGGACGCCCACCTGCCACCTCCTGTGTTTGCAGAATACAACCACTTTCTGCAAGCTCATCCCTCAGGTCTGTCCTGATTCAATAGTTTCTGCAGCATTTCCTGCAACTTCTACAGCTGCCAGCTCCCCAGGGCTGTTTGTGGCACAGCAGGCCCCCTGAATTCACCCTCTCTCACCGGAGTGATCCAGGACACTGCCACTGAAGACAGCACAACCTGCTCCTGGAAACACCATGACCCACCACATGCGTGGCCTAGATTCGGCTGGAGACTGATTCATCAGCCCAGCCCAGCGAGCTTCAGCCGTATTCCTGAGCACCCAATTTGCACTGGCTCACTCTCACTTCCCCATAGCTATGTTTGGAAGAGCATCTAGAAAATGACCACAGTGACAAAGAGCAACCACCATTTTCTAAGCCTCGCTTTGGCCTTGGCTTCTCCCAAGAGCTCGTATTGAAGACAGAGTAACTATACTTCCTTAGTTAATCTTCCCAGTGACTCTGAGCGGTGGGGCTGCTGGCCCCTTTGATTCTTGGGGACGGAAGTGTAGAGGGGATAAGGGGCTTCCTACTGTCACATCACTCCCAAAGGGCAGGGCCAGGATGCAAGTTCAAGGCCCCGGGAAGGCAGGGCCTGCACTCCCAGCACCTCCAGGAGTTTCTGGGCGGGTCACAATAAGACACCAGTGGCTCCGCAAGGAGGAAGCTCCTGGGAACATTCCCTGGGCTGAGGGCAGAGCAGCTACTTTCAAGGCCCAAGGGATGGGCAAGCAGTTCAAGAGCTTGAGCTGGGTACCACGTGGGAGCACCCTGGTCCTATTCCCCGGGTCACTGTGGACTTTGCAAAAGAAGGGAGCTGGGAGGTGTGCCGAGCTCAAGCCACTGGGTCCATCTCCTGCATGCTTAAAAAGGAAACATCTTGATCTTCTAATCTAAAAATGTGAAACTGCAAATCATCCAAACTCTGATCCCAATGTGGATGGCAGTGTGTGCTCATTCCTTTGAAGTGCTGGGGAAAAGGAGTCTTAGGAGCCTCGAGACTTTAAGCCAAGTATAGCCCCCTGCTTTTCTACCTTATCTTGGCCGACAAATAAAATGTCACAATGCAGTTTCAACCCCACGGAAACCAATGACAGGAATTCAATTAAGAACAATTCACATTCGGGGGGGAGGGGGTGGGAAGGCATAGACTGGGATTTCAAAATTGTAGAATAGATAAACAAGATTATAGTGTATAGCACAGGGAAATATATACTAGATATTATGGTAGCTCACAGAGAAAAAAAATGTGACAATGAATATATATGTTCATGTATAACTGAAAAATTGTGCTCTACACTGGAATTTGACACAACATTGTAAAATGATTATAAATCAATAAAAAATGTTAAAAAAAAGAATAATTCACATTTCACTGAGTCCATTTTAGACAGCTTTACCCACGATATACTTTTGAAATATATAAAAACTTTTTAAGGTTTTTGCTGGGTAAGTAAAAACTTAGCCAACAAAAATAAAAGAATTCTACTTAAATCTAAGCTTCAATTTGATAGCTTTGTCAGATTATGGAGTGTTTCACTTTTACCTATCTTTTAGTTTTATAAAAATAACAGATTTACCCAAGTTTTCACTGATGGATGAATGGATAAACAAAATGTAGTGCATACATACAATGGAATATTATTCAGTCTTCAAAAAGGAAAATGTTATGGACTTCATGTCTCCCTTCCCCCTACCAAACTTATATGTTGAAACCCTGATCCCCAAAGTAGTGACTTTGGAGGTGGGCCTTTGAGAGGTAATTAGGTTTAGATGAGGTCATGAGGGTGGGGTCCCCACAATGGGATTAGTCCCCTTAGAAGAGGAGGAGACACCAGAGCTTCCTCTCTCTGTCATGTGACGACATAGCAGGAAGGTGCTTTCTACAAGCCAAGAAACAGGTCCTCACCAAGAGCCACACCTTCTGGAAACTTGATCTTAGAATTTCCAGACTCCAGAACTGTAAGAAATGTCCCTTGCTTAAGCCACTGAATCCATGTTATTTCGTTACAGCAGCCTGAACTAAGCAAGAAGGAAAACTGGACACAGGCTACCACATGCACGAACCTTGCACGCATTATGCTGAAGTGAAACAGACCACTCGCAAGAGGACGACTATTGTATGATTCTACTGATACAAAGTCTCCATTGTATGTGCCGTACCTGGAGCAGCCAAATCCACAGACACAGTGGGGAATGGTCACAGTCAGGGCCTGGGGGTGGGGGTGGGGGTAGTTTTTGTTTAATGGACACAGAGTTTCAGTTCTGGAAGTGGATGATGGTGATGGCTGCACGACAGTGGAAATGTACACTGGGCCACAGACCTGTGGTCAAAATGGTAAATTTGATATTGTGTGTATTTTACCACAATTTAAAAAAGAAAAAAAAAATTATTTTCTCCTAAACTGATTAACTTCTGTTCCCACTTCAAGTTTTTTTTTTTTGCTTATTGCTTCAATTACTAAATAAAAGTTTTAAACCATTCTAACTGCAAGCCTTTAAAATGCCAGAATCAGTGGTTGGTCCTTGGGACATGATGATGAATGAGACAGGCAACCTTAAATTGGAAAAAATGGACAAATGAGATTAAAAAGAAATGCAATAAATTCTGTGAATGAAGGAGACACTCAGTGATATGAACATTCCCAGGAGGGGCCTTGAAGGCAGAGATGGGAGGAAAGTTTTGGAGAAATTGAAGGAGATTTCCCAGAGAAGCGCGGCTTGGGCGTGGTGTTAAGATACCAGCAGTTGTTAAGCTGCTGAAAGAGGAAGCAGGAGGCAGAACAAGCAGAGCGGCAGGTGTAAAGGCATCCAGGAGGGAGACCCCTGAAACAGAGGGTCGCTGACAAGCCCAGAGCCTGGGGAAGATGAAGCCAAGTTGGCAAGCCCGCAGTGGGAGGCGGACCAGATACTGAGAGCTGCGCAGAAGGCTCAGATGAAAGGTAAGGCCTGTGGAGTGGTTCCGTGTGTAATAGGCTGCCCTGTGCAGTGCGCAGTGTGGGAGGGGAGAAAGCGGGAGGCGGTTCTGGCCAGAAAAATCTAGCGTAAAATGAGAGCCCCTACGGCAACGACAAGGAGGATACTTAAAAATGAGGGACTGGGGGAGGGTATAGGTCAGTGGTAGAGTGAGTGCTTAGCATGCACGAGGTCCTGGGTTCAATCCCCAGTACCTCCATTAAAATAAAGTAAGTAAAGAAACCTACTTACCTCCCCCACACCCCCAAAAAAAGCTTAAAAATTTTTTTAAATGAGGGACTTGACAGAAGTGTCAAACTTGATAACTAAATCAAGAGTGTGGAGATGGGGACAAGGGGGAGAGGAAGGTGGTTATGAATCTGAGTTTGGCTCCGGGTATTGGGCAGAAGCCCCTTCACCAAGGCGGGTAACGCGTGACAGGGAAGAGGCGGAGGAGGGACGGGGTGCAGTGGAAGTCGCTCTGGACTGGTGAGTACAGGACACCTGTGTGACCTTCAAGTGCAGATGTCCAGTCAGTAGTCAGGCACACAAATATGCAATGTGAAAAAGAGGTCCGGACAAAATGTATACTATTAAGGAACTGCCCAAATGGAGATGATGGCTGAGGTCAGTAAACGAAAGCATTTGGAGATGTCGCACAGCGTGGGGTTACAAGAAAAGTGAGGAGGGATCACGGGGACACAAATTTGGGGGCGAAGAGACAAATGCAAAGAGCTGACAAAAAAAAAATCAGGAGGGGGGTTTTGTAAGGCAAGAAAAGGAGTTTGAAGGAGGAGGGAGTGGCCAATGGTATTGGATACGCTGAGGACCACAACATCGAGGGGCTTCGGAAACACGGCAGCCAACAGGAACATGGCCCGCGCAGTCCCTGGGAATCTCAGGCATTCCACGACTCAGGGTTCCTCATGTCACGTCAATCAGCTGTGACCCCGGGGGACAGCATTTGAAAGCACAAATCCTGAAACTTCAAACCACGGTCAATACTCCAAACTAAGGAAGAGTAAAGAATAAACGGGCGCTTGCTTGGTCTGAACACAGAAAATGACGCAGCGAAGATTCTGAACGTAGAACTTGTTTGAAATTAACTTAGAAAACACTTCTTTAAAAATAAAGATCGAACGGGCACATGATGTTACGCTGTCTGAGAGGAGAACTCTGCACGTTTGTTTCAGCGGCACTTCCCGGGCACACGACCTTCACGCCCTGTGTGGTGCAGGTGTGCCTGCGGAGGATGCGCTTATGGAGGCGGCAAGTGTAGTCAGCTATGACTGCAAACGAAGAAACCCTCTCCACCCAGCCGCCGAGGGCCAAATGCAGCAGGGAGCGGGGAGCAGCAGGGCATCCAGGTCACACGCGAAGTCTCCACGGTTCGTCTGCTCAAAAGTAACACCGTCCAGGTGGCAGAGGACAGGAGCAGCCACTGTCCTCACTCCCTCTCCTCTCTGTAACCCCCTGCCCGGCCCTTCCAGGGATCTGTGAGCCTTCTCCCTCAATGGTCCTTCTTGCTCTCTTCCTTCCAGTACTGCCCCCCTCCATTGTCTGCTGCCCCTCCCTGGGGAGTTGGTGCTTTTATTTTTTCCAGGGGGAAGAAGGAGAGGAAGGAAGGGAAGCAAAGATTCTGTCCCAGAGAGGGGAAAAGGTGAGATCTGAGAAGGGGCAGAAGGAGGGAAGGCAAAGGCTGTACCTGCGTAAGGTGGGATTGTTTGGGGTCAGGCCCTAAACATCATCCTACCTGAGACTCTATCAGGGGAAAACAAGTCAAGGGGAGCAAAAAAAGGAGCCACTACAGCCAGAGGCAAGACAAGAGATGGAATCTTAGGGGGCACCAGGGTGAACGGGTGGATCCAGGGACTAGAGGTGCACCCTGGGGTCTAGGAGGATGCAGCCGCAGTGTCTCCCCTTTCCCTCTTCCACCCCAGCTCCAGCCCTCGCCTTTTCTTTTCATCCCTCTCCCCCACAACAGAAGCTGTGGCCCTGGCCATGTCACCGTGTTCCTGTGTCCCCTGCATGTTCCCCACCCTTCACCTCCCATTTTGCGCAGACCCCATTACAATAAATTAAAAAAAAAAAAAAGCAGCACTGTCTAAACCACTAAACTGTATGTAAAAAATAGTGCTGTAGACTAAAATAAAATTGTTACTTGGGGGAAAAAAAAAGTCTCAACGGTTCAAGAAGATCCAACATTAAAATATTTATATAAAGGTTGGCGACATCTCATCTACAAAAGAGAGAAAGGAAAATTCCTTCATATGCCAACATGCCTGTTGTTTACGTAAAGCCCCTGAAATATTTAAACGTTTCTGAGCATGTTAACACAGATCAGGGTTTTATTACTGATCCCACATTACGTTTAAACACAGTAATGTGCCAAGTTCAATGTACCACAGCCAGCAATTTTTTATTCAGTTCTACCCTCACACTCTAGATAAATTTGAGGCCAGAAGAGTGATTATATCACGTTATCTACTTTTTGCCAAATATTAATTCTGTGAGTGAGAACTACCTCCACAAATACCATAAACTTCTGTACTTGAAAAGCCACCTAGACAGCATAAAGCTCCTATGTTTAAACCAAATAGAATCAGACTTTATTCTATTTAGATGACAAATTGGCGAGCTGTTCTTACCGCATCAGTCCCCCTTAACAATGCATAGAGAACACGATGCAGTGAGATAATTCTTGCTAGAAACTCCAAACACCGGCACCTTTTAGGGTGTCATAAAAATGGCGGCCTTGGTATTAAAGATAATCTGCTCCACGAGTAATTGCTTCTAATGACCTTGACGTCTGGGAACTTGCCTACAATTCAAGAAAAACTATGCTTCTACAAGCAGTAAATTAAGTTGCTACAAGCTACGAGTTATTTAATTTTCATCTAAAACGAACCATGCTGGACCCAGCCATAGCGAACGAAGCAGGCGGCTTTGTGGAGCATCAGCAGAGTAGACTCGAGCGGCTGCTAGCTTGCGCTTAAACACAGCTGGTTTCTCTACAGTAAACTACAGTTAAACTCTCCTAACGTGAGGAGAGAAATAAATGGAATGAAACAGCCATGGAAAGGCAACACAGATGACCCCTGAATACAGGTTTGAATTGCATGGGCCCCTTCCCAGGGGAATTTTTTCAGTACATACACTACTATGCTTACGACCTGCGGTTGGCTGAACCCACAGGAGTGGAGGGCTCCCTAAGGGGCTCGAGCAGTCGCACATGTTGGTATCCGTGGCGGGTTCTGGAACAATTTCTCCACGGATACCGAGGGACTATCCCTTAGCCTGAATATCAGGCTCATGGCACCATCGCTAAGGCAAGACTCAAGGTGCGGTGGGCCAGGGCACCTGCTGCCTCTGTGGTTCATCTCAGAGGTCCGCCGCACCCTCTCCAGACTGCCCAGGTGCAAATATAAATGGCACCCAGGGCACCCAGGGCAGGGCTGGCATGAAGGGGAGAGCAAAGGCCGAGGTGTGCCCAGCCAGTGGCCTCACTTCCACATCTCAGCGAGGCGTTCTGTTCTCAGTAAGACTATGAAGGGAACGCTTACATGTTTTAGTGATGTTTTACTACGTTTCATGGAGGAAATTATATTCCCGAGGACACTTCGAGAACGTGGGCATTCATGGAGGACTCGGGAAGGATTCCTGATGAGTGTCTTAAGTTTTCTCTGCTCAAATATTCCACAAACAGTAGCAATACAAAGTCTCTCAAACGGTACCTTCTATTTTTGATTCAAAATTAAAACTTATATAAGAAATCCTATTTTAGTAAAAGTTGGGAATAATGAGATAGGGTATCACACTCTTAAATTTTCACAAAAGAATATCCTTCTGATTACCAGACCCTTCAAAATGAAGATCAGCCAAAAAATACAGATATCCTGAAAATGCAGAGCTTGGAAGCCCTCCATGATAGGAGCAGAAGCCCTAGCCCAGTGTCCTGAAGAATACGTGAAACGAAGCAGCCTTAGTGGGAACTGAGTGGAGGTTAAATTTTCTGAAAACCACTGGCGGCCTTGCTCCTGCCACGTTCACCTGAAAGCTTAGAGAGTCAAGGGGCTACTCCCACACGTCTTCCAGGGCGAGCATGCAGACTCCCCTTCCTCTGGGTGGAGGGAAGATGAAAGGCAGACACAGGTATTCCCAGAAAGAACCTCTCGGACTCAAAGATCTCCACTGGGAGGAAAAAAAAAATGGAGTTGCTGCACTCTCTAGCACTGCAAGCTGCTCGCACCATCAGAGGGGATTAGCTACGAAAAATATTTTCACTTTCGGAGGTCGGGCTGTTCAGTAACAAGCTCTAGTTTCTGCTGCAGAAATTAAATTCAACGCCTGATGACTGTCCTGGAGAGAAAGAAAACAGCACTGAGAGGAACAAAAGGTCCTTCTCTGAACGATGGTTTCCTAGGTTCATCTTTCAAAATGGGAGCCAGATCCTGAATTCCAGCTACCGCACACCTCAGAGAGAGCCAAGTCTGGAATGCGCAGAACAAAGAATTTATTCAGAGATCTCTTGGAGGTTTTTCCTCCTCGAAAATAATGAAAGCAAGAAGAGTCCAGATGGGAAGGTAGCCACTTTGGGAGAGGAATCTTGTACTGAGATAAACAGCGAGGCTCTGTGAATAACTCCCCAGGATTACACGAGGAATTTTAGAAAGACAACTTAGGTTTTTCTTTTCGTTTTTTGTCTTTTTTGGTCGTCTACCTGTTTTTATTAAGTTATTTCTACATGGTATCCCAGTATTGATGGAACAGTTAAATGACAATGTTTTATGCCTGGAAGATAAAAGACATCATTAATTTGGTTTTTAAAACCTCCAGCTTTCTACTCCGGATTCACACCGACGACTCCTGCAGCCTAGCTGGGACCCGCTTTCTTTGGCACCCTGGTCTTGCTGGACCTGGTTCCTGCTGCTCAGATGAGTCAGGCTCCCAGCCTGGCTCCGCAGGGATCTTCCTTCTACCCACTGCAGCTCCTGGAACAGAAACTTCTCCCTGCCAGCTGGGGGTTCCCGACCTCCCTGCAGGCTGGGGGCCACCCAGGGACGTGAGCAAGACAGTGTGATGGGGAAAGGATGGTCCACAGACAGAAAGAAGTCAGCTTCTTCTAGGAGGCGACCAAGCAGGTCACTGAATTAAAGTGTCTCCACCGTTAGTCTAGGTAATTCGGGGTAACTGAATTTATAGTGCAATTATTCAAAATGATACAGCCAATTTGCATTGACCTTTTAAAGTACTTAATCTAGTGTAATTTTGGGCCTAGGTTCTTATTAAGGGCTGGATCTGACAGTGGATTTGAGACAGAAGTGCTCGGGTGTCCTTGTGAAGAAGAGTTAACCAGTTATCATTTGTGAGGGAATCCTCTGCGACTTTCAATTTAACAACAAACCTTGGCTCGTTACTTTCTGGGACCCCTAACCCCTCGCCTTTTGCTTATTTCACTCAGGGCTGAGTGTGCTAACACGTCCCCTATTTTTTTTTTTTACATTCCGAGCAGTGGAAATACGTACTATACTTCTTGTCTTCCTTTCTCACAATCCTTTATTAACCAAGTGACATAAACAGACACTCAACCAAAAACCTGCATTCTGTTGCTACAATCTAATCACTCATCCCCAAAAGATGAAGACCGTCAAAGACGATGGTACAGTCAGTGTCACCTCAAACAGTCTGCCAAGTTTTAGTTAAATGGCTACGAAGTGTGCAGTGACGAATTCTGCCGATATCACATGGGGACGAAAGAGCAAAGCACCGATGTCACTACACAGAGCAGAATGCTTTGCCGGAATACATCTTCATTTACCCTCGCGACTTCAGAATGCTACCTTGTTTTGACAACCATGAGTACACACATCTCTGTTTTAATTTCGATTTCTAGTAAAATATGGGAAGACCAACAGCGAGTGCTTATGGGCCAGGTACCGAGTACAATTGGGGTGGAGATTTAGAGCAAACCGGGAAGGCACACTCACCGCCTCTCCAGCGGGCGCCCGTCACTGGAGATGCTTCGAGGAATGTTGGCGGCTCTCTCCGGAGGAGGCATCTTCCCGTCTCCTTTCCCAGCATTCAGCCTCGAGGTCATGGGACTTGGCACCTGGGACGGGACTTGAGGTGAATGAGGCCCCTTGTTGGCATTCCTCTGCCATTTGTTATTATTTCGAAAGGGAAACTTGAATTCATAGGAAACCCCTTCGTTCATTTTGTACTCCATCACTGGCATGCGGTAGGTTTCAGAGCAACTCCTGGGGGAGAAGGCACAGAGAGAAGAAAAATCAATCTCCTTTTTCTTGTTGGTGGGACCACACTGATTCACATTAATAGTTAAAATGGGTCGAAAACTTCACCCTTGGTTTCAGACCATCTTTTAGTCCTTAGGCCCCTATAATTATTTTCTTTTCAAAAACAAGAATCTCAGGAAGTATTACACTAGTATTATCTTTTGCTCCATCCCAAATATTGAGCTTGAGATACAGAGTCTTGAAAAAACAATGATGGTCACCGTGGTGGGGGTAGAGGATGTGGGTGGAGCAGGGGGCAGAGTCAGCACTGAGACCTGGGGAGGGAAGGTGCCAGGACAGTGGGGGGCGGGGAGCAGACTCCTAAGACTGGGCCTCAGGAAACTGTCAGCTTTACACACCCTTCATGGCGTACCACGACTGGGGATCTGAGAGGGTGTACAGTTTTGAATTTGTTGGGAACTCAACAGGCAAAAAAATAAGTGGGGAGAAATTTTGAAATCCAACCTGAGAGCCAAATTTAGCTCAGGAAAAAAAAAAAAAAGACAGTTACTGACATTCAGCAATTATCAAATCATCAGGGAACAAAGCCTAATCTGAAATCAGGCCCTTTTTTCCCCCAAAAGCCAGTGATCCCCACGGCAGAGGTGTCCCCAGGGGGCAGCCTGAGTGAAATCAATGGCAGGCACCAATGTCTTGTCACTGTAGCCTCTTTTTGCACCAACATCCCAACCCCCAAACCTTAGGAAACGTGGAACCCACTTTCCATTTCCTTTACCCAAACAACCAAGGAAGGTTCAATTAATTCCTGACTTGACTGATAGGCAAATTACTGGAGAACCCTATTCCCATTAAAGCATGAACTCAAACTGTGCATTTGAATTTCATCACCGAGTGAAAAAAATGACTTTCTTTCTTAAAGGAATTTCAAAGATTGAGAAGCAGGTGGGCAGATCCGGAAAGGAAAGGTTAAGAGTAATTAAGAAACAGTCCTGTAAGAGGCACCTTCGGGAGAGCAGGAGGAGAGTCCAGACCAGTGCTGTCCAACAGATATACAACATGGGTCACAAAGAGGAGCCACGTGTAAGTGTAAAATGTCCAGCAGCCACATTACAAAAGTAAAATGGAAAAGGTGAAATTAATTTAATACATTTTATTTAACACAGTGTATCCCAAGTGCTATCATTTCAACATGGAATCAATAAATCGATACTAAGAAAATGAACGAGACATTTTACTTTGCTGTAAACTTTGTGTGTTTTTCACACTTAGAGCACGTTTCATTTGGGGACAGCCACGGTACAACGGCTCAGTAGCCACTGGCGACTCGTGGCTCCTGTGCTGGCCAGTGCAGGTCCAAAGGGCATCCAGACGAAGGCCTGGTCTGGATTTGGGGAAGGGGCTTATGCTGGTGGGAGAA